ATTGGGTTAACTCACTTCTATGAATGGACTACCCTCGAGTTCATAGAATACATAACTTCACTGTTTGACAAAATGGGTGCCAATTAGGTAAAACTATTAGAAATTAGTAAGGGCCGGAATATAGAAAAATTAAAAACCATGACTCCATAAGATGCTTTGGCTACTTTAATGAATCAACTTTGTAAAGACCTTCGTGGCCAAACATTCGATAAACTTGACCCCGATGTAGGAAAAAAAACTCTAACAAATAGGACTTTATCAGATTTACTATATAGAAGAGTTCTAATAGATTACATTAAACTAGTCTATCGGCTTGAAAATAAGCAATGAGTGGATTGGTAGACAGAATAAAATTTTAAGAAACTACCTAAACCATGGGATACTCTTCTTGAAGATGCTTTATCTGAAAAAAAAATCCTTAAAAATGATAGATCTAGTGGAGCGATTCAACTCTTTATATTAAGGGGACTAGAACAACATTGTCACATATCTAAGGCCTTTAATCAAACCAAAAGGCAACTTAAAGTTTGGACAATCTTGTTGTGACAAAATTCTATGATATGCTTTAGTGCATGGTTGCACACAATCTTATAGAGGCAAAAAATACTACAAAAAGAAATTTCAAAACCATATAAATTTAAAAAGCTGAAGTTTTCTCAATGAAAAAATTTGTAGAAGGGGAAAACTCACGAGGAAAAAAAAAAAAAAAATCAAAATACACTGTTAAACCCCGAATTTCAAAAAACAAATGCATATATTTCATATGCCAAGAAGTTAGCACTACGCAAATGAATGTCCTAAAAGACAAAATACAAATGAATAAGTATAGGTGAAGACATATCCGAGTATGGATTGAAACTTCTAGAGGTAAATCAACTCCAAATACAATCTGAAAATTCATATTATGAATTAACATCAGATCAAACATAGAAAGTGAAAAGAAATATGCATATCATAAGATCTACATGATTAAAAAAAGAAAATAGCATATTAGGAGAAGATATAGAATCTTTTGAATCAGATATGTATGATCTTCAAGGATAAAGGTTCTCCATTTTAGATGAAGACATAGAAATGCTAAAACTTGCTATCTTCAAACCTCATAAAATGGTGTTTATAGGAGACTAAGTATTTTTAATACCAAATTACTCAATAAATATTTTTATATTTTTTATCGTTTCGATGGAGACATCGAAACTCCACCAGTGTTGTTTGTCAGTATTGCCTATCTCAAGCCAGGATAAAGGAGGAGGGCTGTGTTAGGTAGCTGACAGCCAGCGTAAAATATAGTCCAACGTAAAATATAGTCGGAGTATTTTTAATGCCAAATTCCTCAATAAATATCTTTATATTTTTTATCGTGTCGATGGAAATATTGAAACTCTGCCAATGTTGTTTGTCAGCACTGCCTATCTCAAGCTAAGGTAAAGGAGGAGGGTTGTGTTAGGTAACCGATAGTTAGTATAAAATATAGTCGGATCCACATGTAAAATGAATCATATTATATACTCATTGGGGCATCCCTACCGCGACGCGCTGCATTGATCCTACCCCGATGCAATGATAAGTAAGTAAGGGTGGTTTGCTAGGGCGTCCCCAGGAAGCGAATCATTACATTGATGTCACCCCGATGCAATGACAAGTAAGCAATGATGTTCTAAGAATCTACACACCTCTAATATGATACCTAATAGTATTAGGCATAGACTAGAATGGTCTAAGAGGGAAAATGGTGGGAGACTTTTATAAGAAAATAGAATTAGATTAGCTACTTAGAATATATGTACACTTATCGAAAGACAATGGAATTAGTGTTTGTTATGATTAGAAGAAAGATAAATATAATTTGTTTACAAAAAAACTAAATGGATATGTGAAAAATCTAGAGAAATTAAAAAGACCAAATATAAACTTTGGTACACGGGAAAAGAGAAGAATAGGAATGGAGTGGGAGTTATTGTAGATAGTATAATAAAAGAAAGTGTTGTAGATGTAAGAAGAGTTGGATATAGAATAATACTAATAAAAGTAGTCTCAGGTGTAGAGGTTATAAATATTATTAGTACTTACGCACTACAAATAGGCTTGCTTGAGAGTACTAAAAGTGAAATTTGGGATAGATTAGATGAATTAGTACAAGGAATCCCATTGGAGAAAAATTACTTATAGTAAGGGATCTTAATGGGCATGTTGGTAAGGATAATAACGGATATAAGAGTATACATGAAGGTTTCGGGTATGGAGATAAGAACGATATGGGTAAATCAATTCTAAAGTTTGCAATATCACATGATTTGATAATAACAAATAAACTTTTTTGAAAAAGGGATGAACACTTAATAACATTTCAAAGTGGTTTTAATAATAGTCAAATAGACTTTTTTCTTACTAGAATGGCGGATATGTTAATATGTAAGGATTGTAAAGTTATACCAACAGAGAGTTTAAGTACACAACATAGATTGATGGTCTTAGATATATCTATTAAAAAGTAGAGTAGAAAAACTAACGTGAACAAAAGACTAAGAACTAAATGGTAGAGTTTAAAAGGAGAGAATGTAATACATTTTAAAGATAAGATAACGAAAGAAGATATATGGAATATAGATAATGAGACTAATATTATGTAGAATACCATGTCTTCTTATATTAGGAAAGTAGCTAAAGATATACTAGGAGAATCTAAAGGTTGTAGATTAGACAGTAAGAAGAGTTGGTGGTGGAATGAGAGTGTGCAAAATGTTATTAGAGAGAAGAAAGCTTTATATAAAGAGTGGCAAAAGTGTAGGAGTAGAGAAAACTTAGAAAAATATAAACTAGTAAGGAAGGATAAGCTAAGATTAGAGAAAGGAAAAGTAGAGATTTGGGTAATATTAGATGCATTAAAAGTGAGGATCAAAAGAGTTCTAGTGACCGACGGGGAAATAAAAGAGAGGTGGAGGGGTTACTTTTATCAATTGTTTAATGATAACCAAACAAGTGAGCAAAATAGAGATTTTGACCCTATAGCGAATGATAGGAACTATAGATATTGCCATAAAATTAGGATTAGCAAGGTTAAAGATGCTCTAAAAAAAATAAAAAGTGGTCGAGTCGTAGGACCGAACGATATCCCTATTGAAGTTTAGAAATGTCTTGGAGATATATGCTTAGGATGGTTAAACTAAACTATTTAATAAGATCATTGAGATGAAAAGAATGCCGGATGAGTGGAGGATTAGTATTTTGATACCGATATATAAGAATAAAGGGGATATACAAAGTTGTTCAAATTATCAAGGTATAAAACTCATGAGTTATCCTATGAAACTTTGGGAGAGGGTAATTGAGAAAAGACTAAGAAAAGAGACATGTATATTTGAAAATCAGTTTGATGTTATGCTTGGGAGGTCAACTATGGAACCTATACATATTTTGAGATGGTTGACGGAGAGATATAGAGAGAAGAGAAAGGATCTACATATGATTTTTATCGACCTAGAAAAAGCTTATGATAGAGTACCTAGAGAGGTAATGTGGTAGGTGTTAGAAAAGAAACATGTATCTAGTATATATATTGATGTGATTACAAATATGTATGATAGAGTAACACTTAGAGTAAGAACTAAAGAAGAAGAGAC